TATTTTGCATCGGCTCCCTCCAGTATTCGGAAAATCTTCTCTACCTGATCATCTGTGGCTTTCTGATCACATTTGGAAGACTGAAGACACGTCAAGATATCTAATAATTGGTCGCCACCTCTAGCTCCAAAGGCCAAAGCAAATACAGAGTTATCAGGAGAGACGTCGTGTTTGATCAGGTTGTCAATAACTTCAAATATCGAAAGAGCCCACGGTCCTCCATCTTCATCAACACCGCTTCCCACGTTATCGCGCATGGAATCGGAGACGTCAAGAAGGATTCCAATCAATGCTTTGGCCATGCTTCCTCGGTCTAAATTTATCAAAGAATCAGATTTTTAAGAAAAAGTGAAATGTAAAAGAGCGTGATAAATGAACAAGAATACCAAGTTCCTGCCTTATCATAGTTATACCTTATTCGTTCTTAATTTCGCGGGTCTTTAATTTCTCGTTTATTGCGATTGTAAAAGAAATGCGAAATTTAAGACCCGTGAATAAAGATTCTCTCGAAATTTGACACGCAAACTTTAATCCACCATATAAAATTCAAATTACTGGAAAAAAATGATCAACATGTAATAATATCAACGTATACGGGATATGTATCCACAGATACACAAATTATGAACTGGTCTAACTAATAAGTTCTATTTTGTATCTTCCGCTCTGAAATAACATAATTAAAATCAAAGATGGCGGCCATAATTTTCGCTAAGAAAATACTGAGTTGGCTTGGTTTCGAGAAAAAGTTTTTACAAAACTGGTCTCGCGCCGCTAACTCCTATACTACTAGAAACCATGGGGAAAGGAGGAATCGAAAACACTTCAATTATAGTTCATCCTGCGGAACACAATCTTAAGCAGTACGGTAACGATCTTGCCAAGCGTCGGCATTTTGCCAGCGGTGGGTCGAGCGGAAGGTTTCCTATTTATATTAATGTAGCCCGTAGTGAAAAAAATTGCTGGTTGGTCGAAAGGCAATAAGCGCTGATCCAGGATTAATCAATTTTGTCGATCACGATTTTCTTTGCTTTTGTATGAATAATAGACGTTGTTGGACATTGGTTTACAAACTATGACCAGTTTCGCTGCTTTCCGACCGAGTAATGTAATCAAAATGGTCTCACTGTTTTCTTCTTGTCAAACTAACCGAAGAAAGCGGTCCGTATGGAATTGTATGGATTAACAGTGGTCCATGCGTTGCTTTGGAATACGTTTTATTCGTAGAGGGCACCAAACGTTCGGACTCTGGGAAAGTTATTGAGTTGCAAATTTAGCAGATGCTTAGCAAGAGTATTTGATTCAGACATAGTTTAATGCTACTCTGGTTTGCAGATTTAATGAATGTAACTGAAGAAGTTACAATTCATAGACCCAACGTTTCGACACTCCTGTCTAGTGCTTTCATACATATAACGGCACCTACTATCAACAAGTTTTTGGTACAGCGATGGGTTCGCCCGTTTCTGCTGTCATTGCTAACATGGTAATGGAGACGTGGAACAAAGGGCCTTAGCCACTTCACCGGTTAAACCCTTTTTCTGGAAACGATATGTAGATGATGTTATTTCTGCGGTATCCGGAAATGAAGCGGAGCGCCTCTTGTCGCATTTGAATTCAGTAGAGCCGTAGATCCAATTCACCCTTGAGCGCGAAAAGGATAGACATTTGCCCTTTCTTGATTTAAATGTGTTCAGAGGGGTTCAGGGTAATTTAGAGACAAGTGTTTACCGTAACCCTACTCACATCGACAAATACCTCGCTTTCGATTCTCACCACCCTATTTGCCATAAAAAGTCTGTAGCCAAAACTTTACTTAGGAGGGCTGACTGTCTACCATCTTCACTCGATTCGAAGGCTGAGGAGAGGAAATATGTTTCCAATGTCCTAAAGGCAAATGGCTATACAAAAACTTTTCTCCGTAACTGCCAAAAACCAGCTACAAATAGTAACGCTCTTGATGAAAGGGAACCAGCGACTGGTTTTGCTGTTATTCCTTACATACAGGGTGTTACGGAACCCATCTAGAGAATTTTGAATAGCCACAACGTTAAAGTTGCTCAAAAACCTTTTTAGACCTTGGGCCATATTTTCGCCAAACCTAAGGATCCTGTCACGAAAGAACAACGAACCGATGCCATTTATTCTATTCCTTGCAATGACTGTGACAACGAATACATCGGACAGACCAAACGTCAGTTTGGTACACGGTTAAAAGAGCACCAAAAAGCGGTTTTTCTCTGCAAAAAGGAAAATTCAGCTTTATCGGAGCATACATGCCTAACCAACCATACAATTGGGTGGGATAATTCTAAAATTATCACCACTAATCGGCGTTACCACCAGCGCCTTTGTTTGGAGGCTTGGCATATTAACTCCGCCCACGCTCCTTGAAATCATGACGATGGCGGTTTGCTTCCTGACACCTATTTACACCTCGTCAGAAAAAAGGCCGCTTATTAGTGATCATATAAAAGGACCTCTTGTTGCAGCGTTTGGATCACCCCTGATGAAGGCACTAGACAGGAGTGTCGAAACGTTGGGTCTATGAATCGTAACTTCTTCGGTTACATTCATTAAATCTGCAAACCAGAGTAGCATCAAACTATATCTGATTGTCCACCTGGTTGCCGTGTGAACTTTAATATATAGTATTTGATTCCTTCAATTGTCCGCGTTAGTTATCGCACAGAACATAAAAAAAAGCAAGCGAGAGCAGTTTTTGTGCGACCGATAGCACCTCGAGTTTTTCGATACTAGCCTTTTGTTCGCAAAAACCTTCAGTTTTTCCGTTTTGGTGTTCACTGCGGTTTGCGGATTTTCCGTTGTTTAGCATATGGTTTCGCTTTTCACGAAAAATAGTAACTGGTTTTCGGATTTGGTATCCGAAGCGGTTTTCGGTTTTTCCAATGTGACCTATTTGGGTTCCGGTTTCTCTTCGATCTGAGCGGCAATTACGCGCCTCCACTGATCTCGAATAGCCGCTAAACGCTAAGAGGAATGCGTGACCACCGATTGAAATATCGCAGGGATCCCAAGGAAGCCTACATGTAGCCATACCCTTCCCCCGCTAAGGTGAATTGGAAGGGAACTTCGCCTCCGTTTCTCCTGGGGGCGGGGGGGGAAAGAAGGGGGAGGGGCGGGCACGGCTACACATGGGCTAATCCCTGGGGGGTTAACGCGTCTCGAATGACGCCCAAGACTTTGACCATCCGTAGGGGTTCACGCGCCTTGAACCACGAATATGGTGCGGCAGTAAGACGAAGGACAGTGCGACAAGAAACAACAATTGCTAAGGACGGAACATTGCCAGAATTTCTTTATCAACGCCACCTCGAAGTCGGTGACCAAGTTACAGGCTACACGTGACTGATTGATTCAACATTCCAATAGAACCTTTAAACTTCGCAAATGGAAATGTTAGATAAGGGATTTTCGATGGAACTTTCCAGAGCTATAGCTTGTTAGGACTGTAAATTTGCAATCCTATGGAGGACTTTTGTGTGCGAATTTCCTTAATTTAACTGGGCTCCATTACCAGCTACTGAGTGCGCAGAGACCACACTCGAGGTCCTCGATAGAGCAGCTGAAATAACGCCTATAATTTAAGCAGATACCAGAAGATACGAATGCCAAGTCCATGGCATTCACAAATACAGTAACGAAATTACTGTATTCATGCTCCACTTGTCACCCCCGTATCGGATCGATGAGGGTCTTAACAACTGGGAAAATGTGTCGGTTTTGACAGTTTTGCATGCTTTTTTCGGTTTCATCGAATTTTTTTCGGTTTTTCGGTTTTTCGGTTTTAGATGATTTTTTCTACGATGTTGCGGTTTCTTATAGGCCCCAATGCCCCCCTCAGCATAAGCTCTCTTCCAAAGACGTGGGAAGTCGATTAAATCCTTCTTCAGTGAGGTTGCGTTAAAGATGTCGTGCTGAAGATTCTCAAAGTACGCTTCTGAATCGTCAATTTCCGTCCTGCAGCCGTCACTATCGCTTTCGAAGATCGACAGATTTCTCTGGAATTCTCGTTAGCTAGTTCTGTTTTTGCAGGCGTTGAACTTTAACTGGCACAATTGCTATCACCGTTAGTAAAAAGTACCTGACTAGCATTTAGTGATATTCTGCAACTCACTTGGTGCGTGCTTCTGAAAGCTGATCAACAAACTCGTCGTAGCCATGTTTTGACATCATTTTAATATATTCACTCTCTGTAATTTCCTTTTCTGATGCCTTTTGGCTGAGAGATCTGAGTTGTGATGTTTGAGAACCGCTCGTCAGACAAAAGCACGTTAGAAGTTGAGATTCTTTTGCTTTTAGGGTCTACATCTGAATTTAACTCCCATCAATACGGAAGTGAATCCAAATTTCTACTATTTCTGATATTTTATGACACATTTATATTTATATTCATTCTGTTTCTTATTTAAGACTTAACTCTAGGTTTATTTATCTTATTTTACATTTATTTATTTGGTGCCGAAAAACCGAAGTTTTTTGGCACCAAAAACCGAAAAACCGATCTAAAGAATAGCCAAAACCGCAAAACCGAAAATCTTAATTCCCCCCTCCTTTTCCTACGAGGTTGGTCTTGCTTCCAACGCTAGGTAGTGTTTCTTCCTCAAAAGGGCAACGATTTAGAGTTCCTTTTCTTACGCGGTCGATCTTGCCAACGTTTCGGTAGTGTGTCAGCCGACGCGTTAGTCGATCTTACCAACGCGTAACATGCTAACTCCCTCGGTATTCGACCCTTAAAAAAAACTAGCAGAAGACCTAGGTATTAGTGTTTCGTTCTCAAAATGGCGATGATTTAGATTTCTTTTCTTGCGAGGTTGGTCTCATGCGTTCGATCTTACCAACGCGTCGGTATAGTGTGTCGGTCGACGCGTTGGCCGACGCGTCGGGTAGGATCAGATTCTTTACCTTTACCCAATGAGCACCATGTTTAAATTATATTAACTTTAAAAAAAAAAGTTCAAACTGAGTATCCTGTTCACCTTTCCTTCCCCAAGGCTCTTCTAATTCTTTTCCATGACCAGTGGTGGGTACTACAGTGAGGGGTGAAGTACCTAAGGGTAAAAGAGGCAGAGAGAGATTAGCATTCACAGCCTCCCTTCAGATGTTTTGTTGCGATAAGTGGAAATGTGTACAATTATATTAATTAATTGATGCCACATTACTGCACTGAGATAATTCTTCAAACATTTATCACATAATTGTTATTACTGTTCACAACAACTTTCCATAATAACTTAACCCTTTAACTCCCAAGATCTCATTAGTAATTCTCCTTACTGTCTGCCGTATAGTTCTTGTGATGTTAGTTTGGAGAGTTTGGTATTGGATCAACTTATAATCCCCTTGCTGATATTCTTCTCTATTCTCATCACTTATCTGCTTGATATTGTACTGATATTGTGAGGAGAAATTCTGTCTTGGTCACTCATGGGAGTTAAAGGGTTAATTCAAGTTTTTTAATTTCCTTATCACCTTCCAATTTCGCTGTCTCCATAATCTTTGTCTTCTGTTCACTTTTTTCCCATTGTTCTTTTTTTTGTGGACTTTCACTGGTTGAACTTGTGGAGTGGAATTCAGAGGATAAAGCACCTAAAATCAGATTTACAAGAAGATAAACATTTTAAATCATAAACATACCTCAAACTATTTTTAAAAACACCCAACATGCAAAAACTAGTTAAATTTTCTTTCATAGCCCTTTGCAACAAAAAGTTTGGCAATTAATCTTTGATAAATCTTTTAATATAATAAATAATGTAATCTGATAAATTACAGAAAGACAAATACAACTTTATAGAGAGGAAAATATTGAGTCAGATTTCTTAATAAAAAGATAACATGTTACTGGGAAGAGATGTTTGAGAAGATCAAAACATCAAGTGAAATGTCTTGAAAACAAATTACTGCTTGCATCAGCATGGTTTACATACTTTAGTCAGCAAGAGTTCACTCATGAGACAAGTTTGATCAGTCTTGATAAAAAACTGGACCCATCCCTTCATGAAATGTACCTTACCATACTCCATGTTGAAAGACTAATAGATTTCATTCAAAGCCCTTGAAAAATATTTAATGATAGGACCAGGCCTTGTTACATTCTCTCTACCAACCTTTAGGTGCATCTTTCTCAAAGAACATTTTGCATGCATTGTACTCTTCTATGTCAATTGTTGTCTTCAGCCTCAGCTCAGCCAGGTTCAGTTCCTTCAAGATCTTTTCAGTTACAAAACAATTCTGAACCACTTCACCAAGATGACCAGATGAGTAATCTGTCCAAAACTCCTCCAAGATCATTAGAGATTCACATTTTACTGTTATCACCAAACTTCCATCAGAGACACCAGTAATGATGGTCCTCATTTCTTTTAAGTATGCTATAAACCAATTCCACTCTTTGATGGAATGTGGATCTGTGGCTTGGTAATAATTTTTAAGAATTGTTAGAAATTGTTTCTCTTTAAGAGCCTTGAGATCTTCTGTCTGTGGATTAGACACTCTCTCAGATGCAGCCGATGTAGCAGATGCCCCTGGCTGTTGAGCCTCTTGGCATCTGATAGATTCTGTCGCCAACATGCCAGTCTGCATATTCTGTCTTTCAGGTTTCAAGTCATCCACTCCAACTTTAATATTCATTTCACCACCTGTTAAATTGTAACAGTGAAATTTGATCCTAATATAAGAAGGTTTTTTCACCCCTTACCTATTTAACCATTAAAATGCGAGAACATTATATTGAGGCAACAGCAACAGTTTGGTCTCATCACAAAACACCCTCTATTCCCTGTTTAAGAAAAACAAACAAAAAAACAAACTGAAACTCTGTTGTATCTCCAATAAAAACCAAAGATACATTGCAATCTCAAATAAGTGAGGATACAATGACCAAGAGAAAAGGATAATATTTCAAAGAGGGCTCCTTGATTGGTTATTGCCTATCTGGACTTTGCCCTCTGTGTGTGAAATACATGATAAAATGCAGGTTGTTTATAAGGAATTGACATGCAACATGGGAGAATTGCATGGAAAGTTCACTATCAGATGCATTTAGTTCCATGTAAATTTTTTTCAGTGGGGTTGGACAATGCAGGTGGAATATGTGATGAAATGAAGTTAAAATTGTACTTCAAGCATTGTACTTGAACCATAAATATCACATTAAACTTCAAACTCATTGGATGATAATCTTCTTGCAGGTCCTCATTTTCAGAGGGCTTCTACACCTGCATTCCCTCATAGCAAATCGCACAGCAATCTTCCAATTGAATAGTACTCATGCAGTACACAAATTTTTATTACTGTTAACCCTTCAACTCCCATGAGTGACCAAGACAGAATTTCTCCTTACCATATCAATACAATATCAAGCAGGTAAGTGATGAAAATAAAGAAAAATGTCAATTTGAGGATAACTAGTTGATCCAATACTAAATTCTCTGAACTAACATTATGAGAATTCATTGTTTTACCTACAATTATTCCTGTGGAGTCCCTTGGACTCCTTCAACCTAAGGTTTAGGGTTCAGAAGAAAATGGTGGGGGTCCCATGGTTAATATAGTTTTCAATTCCAGGAGAACAATCAAATCTTTTGGCAGGTAATTAATTTTATACTGTCCAGTAATATAGAGACAACCAAGAATAAATAAGCATATCTTGTGTTCAATCAGTTTCTTTAACGTTTTCTCATTAAAAAAGGAACAAAGTACTAAAGGTATTTCTCACTGATTCATAAACTTGGTCAGAAAGATATAAGCTACAATAGAAAATTCTGCTAACTCAAAAAACTTGTATGCTACTAAAAATAAGTCAAAATTTGGTCTAGTAGCCTCTTTAGCCTTACCAGTGGCATCTCTTGCCAAAACAGGGTGCAAGGTTGAGGAAACAATTTAGTAACTTCAAAACTTTTTTTTTGCCTAGTTTTCATGGCACTAAATGCTCTTGCTGCAGTTAGAAAATCAACATCCTCAAAGTGGGGTCCAACTAGTGTTACCATCATCATTCTATTCAGCCATTCAGGATTAAGTCTGTTTCTCAGCTAATAAATTAATTGAATTTTGGACAGAAAAACCTCGCTCACAAGGAGCACTTGCTACTGGGATTACAAGACTGATCAAAGCTAGTTGCACAAAATCAGGGTGAACATGTTTATACTCTTGGATGATGAATGTTTTTGTTTTTTTCCATGAACTTTTGATAACTGATTTTGTCAGAACTGATAAATGTGTTCATGCTCCTCACAATTCAGTTTTATTGAGCAAGCTCTAACTAGTGTTTCTGCTGTCTTTTGGTTCTTGCTTTTGGATACAATGCAGATCAGATTTCTAGTATGAGACCATGTTTTACATTGGAAGAGCCCTTAGGGTTGATAATGAGGTTGAAACATTGATATTGTCCAAAAGAGAAGTCTTCTAAGGCTCCATAGAGCTAAAAGGCACTGGATAATAAATATGTCTTACTAAAAATGATTTAAATTACAGAATGCCACGTATTTTCACACACTTTTCACTGGACAAAAATAAACAGCCCCTGTTTGCCATTTCCTGCAAAATCAACTTTCAGATTATTATTTTTTAAAAAATTTAGGGTCTCCTCACTCAAAAAATCCATCATAGGGCTAGATATGAAATAATTATTTTAAATTTCACCATTTAAGCAGTTCTAAAATGGAATGGCCCTTAACAACAATGGCCATTACCATCAACTTATAGCCTTGGATTACCAGTTTTCCTAAATGTATTTACTTGTAACATTCCATAAGACTACTGTCCTATAGCATTTAGAAGCAACTGCTAACCTGTAAATTGAATATTTAACACAGAACATCCCTTGCGAACTGAATTCCCAGTTTTCTGGGAATTCCTAGGAATTCCTAGGAATTCCTAGGAATTCTCAAAAATTCCCAATTATGCAAATGACCCTTGCAAACCGAATTCCCAGTTTTCTGGGAATTTCTGGGAATTCCTAGGAATTCCTAAAAATTCCTAGGAATTCCTAGGAATTCCTAGGAATTCTCAAAAATTCCCAACTATGCAAATGACCTCTGATTTAAAAAGCTTGGAATTACTGGGAATTTCTGGGAAAGGAAGACTCCAGTTTTGTGAGGACTTGGAATCCCTAGGAATTCTTAGGAATTCTCAGCTTTACAAACTACCTATAATTTAAGAAGTGTGGAACTCTTGGGAATTTCTGGGAATTGAATTTGAGGCAATTTTAATACCCTGAGGTCCACATAAATTCTAAGAAATTCTCAATACCTTGAATGTGAAGGTTTTAAGAAAAAGAGTAATTTCAGAGGCTTAAAACTTTGGCTCAATAAAAGGTATGCTATACAAAACTTACCAAGAGATATACATACATGTACATGTTTATAACTTAAAGATCATAAAATTTATCACTCAAACTAAGTTTTAGTAAATCTTGACATTAATATGGATTTTCTCATGAACCAGCTGTCAGTTATGTTAAATGGAAATTGCCAACTTCCACAATAATTAACAATAATTACATTGTTATCTTACTTCCCTAACCTACATTACTGGTTGCCTTTGTTAGAAAACCTTGGAACAGTCAAGCTCAGTTGCCTCAAACGCTGTCAGAGACTTTTTGTTGACAATACTTTTAGTAGAAATTTCATGCCTTAGACAAACAAATTCAACACCTAATTAATCTTTCTTTTTTCATGATTGTTTTTGCTGCTTTTTTTTTTTCAGTTTTTTGCTCTATTTTCATGACTAATTGCTGTAATTTATTTTGCTGTTTTTATTCTTACAAAACATTTTTGTAAGAAAAGGGGAACATTGACTACCTCTGTCTTGTCTGCATGCCAAATGTTTGCAAAGTGTGTGGATGATCCACAAGTATTGGAACTCTTACAAAAATGTTTTGTATATGTTCCAATACTTGTGGATCATCCACACACTTTGCAAACATTTGGCATGCAGACAAGACAGAGGAAGTCAATGTTCCCTTAGAGGAAAAACACCTTTTATATGATGTCTTCAATTTACTTTATTTGAAACTCTGATCTGAAAATATTTGTCAACAAGACTTGTTAGTAGTGAGAAGTACCAACCAAGTTTCCTTTCATAATTTAATTTCTTAAATGTCCCAATCACTGGATCTCCCAAAAAAATATTACATCTTTTTATTTTTGGTGCAAATTACAAGTCCTTCTTTATATAAAAATGAAAAGTGATAGTCACACTTCAATAATAACAGCTCTTAAGTTTACTTGTTGTTCTTCTCTGTCTGTCAGCTATCAACAAGATTGTTTTATACTTCGGGCAGTGCATAACTATTTGTGGACCAGAGTTCCAACGCACCTCTGTAATCGCATATAGCTACTCCTGTCTCTTGTACAAATGTTTCTCCTTTGTAAGACGCACTCTACTCTCTTGTCAATACTGCTTTAAGTTCATTGGAAACGACTGACTGAGGAATCGAGATGGCGGTGTTGGAACGTGTTGCTGAACGCTTGCTACGGTCAAGCTTTGTAGATTAAGGTACTGGTACACTGGGATCATCTATGTATCTCTTATACTTCCGAATGTGGTATCCTTCTTTTATAAGTATGAGGGTAAAAGATGATTTGTAGTCGCATTCAAAACTGTGATTGGCTTGTGTTATTTCTCACCTTGGCCATTAACACAACTCAAGTGAGTTTCGAGTCTTTGTTTCCTCGACAACTTTCGGCCACAAATCGTGCATTTGTAATACGATCGATTCTTTTCGATTATTTCTACATAGAGTGAGCTCACATCTTTATTTGTATCACCAAGCTATCCATTTTCTAGAAGCAGAGTCGGAGAAGTCAGAATAAAGTTAGGCGCTTCTCTTAACACTGCAATCGGCAAGCCAGCGGATTCACTTTGCTAGCCAATGATAAGTCCTAAAAGATCCACGTGATCATGCCCGTGATCGGAAACAAAGAAGACTCCATTTGGCGCTCATCTTTGAATGTACTTTTCATCGGTTGATCGCTTTTCTCAACTGTTTTGCTTAATATAACATTTCTAAAGATAGCTTTTATTGTGGTTCAATGGGAAAACGAGAATAGCGTGAGTGTTGTAAAAGAAAAGAAAGTCGTTGGCGCCGTGGAGTTAAAAGAAGGGACAACAGTTGACATATTGACTGGTACAAACAAGGGTCGAGTGGCCATCTGTAAAGCTACGATTTTGAAAGTTTGTGGTGAGTAAAAATTGCGATATTCGTTACGTGATCAAAATCTTATAAAATAATAGATGTAGCGGGTTGAATTAAGCTTACGTAACGCTCGGCGCAACTGAAACTAGAATAATTCTGAGAATCGAATCGGTCACTTGCATGCCGCAGTTTCTTAAGCTTATGCTTTACAATGAAATAAACCTATCAGTAAGGTTTCAAGATTCCTCTAGTCACGTTTGGGAACATTCAAGATTCATAATAGGAACTGTTATTAAACAAACCTTAGTACATAAAGAAGCCCTCCTGGGTAAAAACAAAATAATGTATTCAGCCCTTTTTTAGTAAAATCCATGAGAGAGATGTACTAACTCCAATATAAAAGTCACTCAATATAACAGAGATTTCCCAATTT